ACCGCCAACGGAACTGGATCCTGCATGAAATACATTGTACTGAGTTGCTGGGCTAGTGGGAAATGAGGGAATTCGCCAAGGCTGGGTCTAGGGGTGGGTAGGGTTGACATGGGAGGTTGGGAAAAGGTTTGAGCAGAAATTAAGACATTGAATAATGAGAAGGTGACCACATCAAAAGACAGGTCCCCATGAGGACAGGGGTCCAAATGAGCTCTACATGTAAAGACTAGTCCTTGAGCTGTTGCCAAGTTTGAATAGCTGAACCTGGGACTCCAGGGTTAACTTGGGAAACCTGGAAGGAAGCCGACTCCCAAGAAATATAAACATAAATCTTTTGGAGGAAAGCAACCTCAATTTAGGACCCTGAATTTTCACAAATTAAGGTTAACCAAATATGAGTTTCAATCAAAGATCACCAAATGTAAAAGGAAACATACAGCTAAGAATGAGAGTCAGCATAAAAAATGAATTTAAATTCCCAGAACTTTCAGATATTAGAATCACCAGATAGAAAATATACACTAACTTAATAATGGAAGAATACTCAGCAAAATACTCAAAAATTACCAAGCATGTTTTTAAAAATCAAATTACATTTATAGACATGAAAAAACATAATGATTAATACATTTTAAACACTCAATGTATGAGTTAAACAGCAAATTAACTACAATTGAAGAAAGAATATGTGAATTGGATATAGATTTGAAAAATTCTGTTAATTTTTACCAAATCGTAGGACAGAAAATCATGAATATAAATAAGGAGAGGTTAAGGGATACAGAGGATAAAAGGAAAAGGTTTGCCATTCACTTAAACAAGAGTCTCAGAAGGAGACACTAAGGAGAATACAGACAAGCAATCTTTAAAGAGAAAGTGGATGAAACTTTTCCAGAACTTATGAAAAACATAAAGCTTCAGACACATGAAGTACAACCTACACCAAGCAGGATACATTAAAAAAAAAAAAACAACACCTCTAGATAAATGAAAAATCTTAGAATCTAGAACTTGAAAAATCTTAAAGACAAAAGGAGTTTATTAAGAAGCACCCAGAAAGTAAAGGAAGATTGTCACAAAGAATAACTCTGAGGTTAGCAGCAACTTCTCAGCAGCAATCACGGAAGCCCGCTCTTGATATCTTGAAAGAATAATAACTACCAAGTTACTGTTGTGAACTGAGCAAGATGATGTTTCAAAAGCAAGAGCAAAAGAAATAACATTTTCAGATAAAAAACAAACAAAACAGAAACAGTTTATTATCAACACCACCTTCATAAAAAGAATGTCCTGAAGTTTTACTTTAGAAGGAAAAATGGCCCTGGCCGGTTTGGTTCAGTGGTTAGAGCGTCAGCCTGCAGTCCAGAGAGACCTGGGTTCGGTTCCCGCTAAGGGCATGTTGTCCCTGGCAGATTGTTCGGTTGCAGATTGTCCCTGGCCCTGGTTGGGTCGTTTGGATGGCAGCCACTCGAAGTGTTCCTTTCATGTTGATGTTTCTCTCTCTCTCTCTCTCTCTCTCTCTCTCTCTCTCTCTCTCTCTCTCTCCCACTCTATCTGAACAAAAAATGGGAAAAAAATGGAAAAATGTCCTCAGGTGAGGATAAGAAAAACAATGAATCTAGAGAAAGAGTTTGGAAGAAAAGCAAGCAGAGGAAATGGTGAATATGTAGGTAAATGTAATACAGATTTACTTAAAATGATGATGGCGATGTCTACTTTGTGTAAGTTTAACAAAAAGAAACTAGCTAAAATGGAGGGAAACCCAACATATAAATTAGGAGGGCAGTAGAAAGAGTCAATGTTCTAAGGGTCTTGTCTGTCGGGGAGAGGGTTAAGACCGTCTGCAGTCTGTTAAACAGAAAGTAAACTTGTATGGGTAACCCTAAAGAACTGAAATAAAGAGTTTCATTTCCACAGCAGGCAGAGGGCAAAATTATGTCGGAGAAATGAAGAGAAGAGGGTTCTTTTCATTGTATAATAAGTAAAATCAACTACACTCATAACTGTAAAACTTTCATAGAGTCTTCAGGTTGGGGAGAGGACAGTCCTGGGCCGGCCTCCGTGAGGATGAGACCTGGGCGGGAGGCAGAAGGAGCGCGGAAGACCCAGGGCGCTGCTGGCGAGGAAGACAGCCAGGCGCTCTCACGGCAGAGATGTCCCAGGCTGGAGGGGCCCTGGCAGCGTACGGGTTGTTCCCAGTCTCGGGGGCAGGCCAGAGGCAGAGCCAAGCCAGCTGGTGAGAGAATGATGACAGATGCTAAGGGGACAGGAGGTGCTTACACCCACAAACTGGATGTGCCCTGCATCTCACAGGGCAACTTAGGGGAGCAGGCAGGGAGAGAAGGCGGAGAAGACGTCTCCCAGGCAGCACCAGAGCAGTTGCCCCCTCCACACCCTACAACGCGAGGAAGGAGGCAGAGGCAGAAGAAACCAGGGGGTATAGGCCTTGGCACAGGCCTTCAACAGAAGACCCAGCCAGCCAGAGCTGGCACCTGGAAGGAAACGCTGGACAGCAGGGCGCTGGGAGCCCGGGCAATGTGCTTCTGGGTTCCCCCTGCAGGCATCTGATCTGCACTCACCTTTGACCCGCAAGCCCAGGAGTTCCCTTCTGCCACTGAAAGGTGCTAACTTATTAAACAGGAAAACACATACATCAGAACTCATTTAGAGGAGTATACCATAGGTTTGAGGGAACGTAAGAATGCATTTGAGTGACAACAGCTAACTAACACTTCTGTCCAGCTTACACTACACCAGATACTATTCTAAGTGCTTGATATACATGACCTCATTTAATCTTCATGTGCCCAAGATCACACAGCTGATAAGAGGCAGAAATGGGCTTCCAACACAGACACTTTGGTTCCAGAGTCTTCACTCTTCCACATTCTGCTGCTTCGGAGTGGTTGGAGGCAGCACTGCCTGGAGGAGACAGAAGTCCAGGTGTGTGAACTGAGCATTGGTGTCCTGCTGGGACTCGCACGTGAAAGCTCTAATCCTCAATGAATGTGACTGTATTCGGAGATGGGACCTTCGGGAGATAATTAGATGCTGAAGGCAGAGCCCTCGGGAATGGGATTAATGTGCTTAGAAGGAGAGACGGTGAGAAAGGTGATCTCTCTGACACTGCCAGTCGGGAAGAGCCCTCGCCAACACTGCGACGTGCTGGCAGCTCGCAGACCTCCAGCCTCTACTGCCATTCTTTACGGTCACCCATAAAATTTTACCTTGCATAGTTAGCAAAGACTACAAACAATGGTTTAATCCTCTCACTGACAAACCTCACACGCCAGCCTGCAGAACTGTTTGTAGTCTTGGGGAGAAATGTTTGCTGAGGTGGGGAAAAGTGAAGCCACCAGTCAATGGCATTTGTTACAACAGCCCAAGCTGATTAAGACAGCTGGGGAATGATGGGTTGTCGTCAGGTATTTGAAGGGATGTAATGGAAGAGGGTTAAACTTCTGTATGGACCAAAGAGACTAGAATTAATAAAGTGACTCTTTTCAGCCTGCCTTGTAAGCATCAGAGATCTCTGGAGAAGAAATAGGCTTTGTCGTGAGTGCTGATCTCTCTATCTCTAGAGGCTCACTGCAGGCAGGGGTAATATGGAGAGGATTTCAGCACTGAGTGGGTAGTTGGATGAGACTCTGTGAAAATCTCTTCCACACTTGAGAGTCTACAGGACTGTGAGGGTCAGGCCTTAGAGCTCAGATCCAGAGAACTGGACATTGAGTACCCTTAACTTATAAAACAGCTACATTTTCCACTTAACTTTGTTCCTGAGCCTCTTGAGGCCAGATCTACACTTTTATATTTTAAGACTCTGTACACTCCTGGATCTGCTTCCCTACAGAGGTCAGCTTAGGCATCACTTTTTCCAGGACGTGTTTCTACATCCTAATACCAGCGTCCGTGCCTCCTCCCCACTGCTGCCCCAGCCTGGCCACGCTGCACACCGGACTGCACGGTCAGTTTCGCCATCAGCCAGTCCTTGTGTTAGTTTCCTAAGGCTGAAGTAACAAATGCATAGAGGGGCGGCTTACAACACGTTTATTGTCACAGTTCTGGAGACTAGAACTCCACGATTAAGGCGTCAGCAGGGCCGGGCTCCCTCTGACGGCTCTAGGGGAGGCTCCTTCCTTGCCTCTTCCTAACTTCTGGTGGTTGCTGGTAACCCTGGGTGTTCCTTCACCTGAGGCTGTACCACTCAGATTCTGCTGTCTTCACGCAGCCTTCTCCCCTCTGTGCCTGGGTCTCTCTCCTGTTCTTCTAAGGACACCGGTCCTGTTGGATTTAGGGCCCACCCTAATCCCGTATGACTTCATCTTAATTTGACTAATACATCGTCAAAGTGTCTATGTCCAAATCAGGTCATGTTCACAGGTGCTGAATGTTAGGGCTTCAATATATCTTTTGGGGAACATAATTCAACTGACAACATCCCCTAACCTTCCATGCTTACTAGACTGTTACTTAGGGGACTGTATGTTTGCTCCATATATTTTTATTGTATTTTTTACTATGAACCACAGTCTGATCTGGGCACTGATGACAAGTCACAGTCAAGGTCCCCCCCCACCCCCCAGGGGCACTTCGATTCTACATGGAGGGAGACAATAAAAAAAATGGCCATTCAACGTTGAAGTCAAATGCCAAGCAACATAGATAGGTAGGTAGGTAGGCAGGCAGACAGGCAGGCAGGCAGGTAGGTAAGTAGGTAGATGGATACTAAACTTAATAAAAACAAAGGATAACTTATTCTCATCTAGCCTTGTTTTTTGGCATGTTCACCAGAATCAAAACTTCGGTTGCTCTTTGTCTCTTGTAAACCTTCGTTCTCCAGGACTTGCGTTCTTGCTCTCGCTTGACTCTTAACCACTCTCACCCCGCAAATAGCATTTCTTAATATCAGAAAATAAAGCTTGTAAAATATATTCCTAATTTTTTTTTAATTCAAATGTGCAACTAAGGAAGAAAACCTCCCTGCCTTTGCCTTCCAGGGCAGCGCCAGTTCCTCCCCGTCTCCGTTTGTCCAGATGCCAGGTGAGTACTTCAGTTCTACGAGCTGGTCCTCCCTTTCCTTCTGAGTTTCAATAGGCATCTGGGCTTCTGTTCTTTCATAACTGTCTTACAGTCCATTTTAAATGTTACTTCTTTAACATCGTTGTTATTAAAATATGAAATCAGGGAAGACAGACCTCATGCAGTTATTCCTGAACATAAAATTCATGTGTCTTGAGGGCAACTTTCTGCCGAGCAGAAGCTTCCTGGGCAAAAGCAATAGCATGTAGGTCCTTGTTGCGATTTTTAAATGTCTAAAATTCTGGCCCCATGATCTGACAGGTTATGCACCTGCTTTAGCCCCCAAGCAGGGAAATCCGTGGGCAGATGGGAAACTACCATTTATTGAGTGCCCTCTATATGTCAGGCACTGAGTGAAGCATCTTGCATTCATTTCAATACATATGTCTCATTAAATATTCCTATGAGGACAGAAAGGGGGCATTCTTGATAATAGTGGTGGACACTCTCATACATGCACATACACATTCCTTCCAGATCCCGCACTCAGAAGTGGCAGAGTGATTCTCAGTTTTGGTAACTTCAGAGATGGATAGGGAAAGGAACAGAGCAGTACAGGATCCACAGGTCTGCATGTCTTCACGTGTGCTGCCCAATCACGCGTACTGTCACTGGATTCTGCTCCTTTTTAAAGAAGAAACGTTTCTGTAGCTTCTCTCACCATCTACAATTATTCTTTCTCTTTTTAAGGAGAAAATATATATGCTTAAGAGAGCAGGGATTTTCTCTTTGTGGTTGTTTTTATTTGGCAATGGGAATATACACATAAGACCCTGGGAGCCTTGTACATCGTCTTAATTCTATTCTCAGCATTAACCTTCCTGTGGATAAAAATTTGTGGTGTGAAACAGAACCTTATGTGTTGATACTATTTTTGTTTGTTTCAGTTTTATCTGGGGAAATATGCTTATGGGAAAACCCCTACCTGCAGCTTTCAAATTCATGAGCAGATTAGAAACTGGGGACTATAAATATTAAGATGAAAATGGAGTAAGTAGAGCTGTGCTGTAAATTTCTACAAGGGCTTTTAATTTCTTCTGGATGAATGAATACATTTACATGTAATTGTTGAACACTAATAAAATACTGCACTTACAGAACATGTATAAGACAAGCTCTGTCCCCATGGAGCTTGTAGGGAAGAGGGTTGTAACTCAGGTGAGAGAGCAGTGAACATAATATGAAGTTCACATCACGTGACTGGGGCCAAAGTGCTGTGAGTGTAGAGTGACATTTGACTAAGTCATGATACAAAGGACCATGTGACTTCTCTCCCTGCAGAAGAGCGGGCAAGGTGGGCAGGGACGAAGCTCAGAAGTGGGTCACTGTGGTTGGGGGAAGGTAAGAAAGTCAATCACCCCCATCTTCTTCCCAGTTCAGCCCTTTTGTGGCCTCAAGGAGTAAATCTCAGCTAAGGAGAGCACACCCACCACCAGCTGCAAACAGTTTTACTGATTGAGTCCATGCTCCTGAACACGTTTTGAATGATAACGTTTCCCGCTACAACTGAGCTACTGCTCAGAAAGTCTTTAGCAAACACACCTCTTCCCTTTTGGGTCCATTTCACTCGCCTTACCTTAATAAGACTTCTCCATTTAGGCTTCTTCCCGTTTTCCCTGAAGGAAATTCTGTGCCAGACCTTCTCTCCCCAAACTTGCAGTGCCCACACTATGGCCACAAGAGGGCAGCAAATAACACAAGTCCCTTCAAAGCCAGGAAATATTTGTTATGGTTCTTCTGCTTGGCTGCGCAGAAGCCATGTCATTCCAAAGCTAGCGTGCCATGCCTGCTAGGTGCTAGACACGGTGTTACAAGTCAGTCAATAGACAAAGGATTAGGACAAGAATACAACCTGCCCCTGATGGGGGGTGGGGAGGAGTGGGGAGATGTCATAGTATCACCTTATCTAGAGATACTGACTCTCAGATAATATGCCCAGAAAATAGCCTCTTGTTACTGGTTCTGTGTATATGACACTTGAGTGAACGATAGAACAGTTAATTCCACCACCTAAACTAACTCACCCCCAAAGACATTTCGACAGATCATTACCTGGGCTGGACCAGATCACCGAGGTAATGCAGCGGTATTTAACAGTTTCAAGAGTATCCATTTCAGTGTTAGCCTTGATGGAGGCATGTGTGAGTGGCACCATTTCAGATGGAGTGACTCATTTGCAACAGATGGCTTGACTGTCCCAAGAGGAAAAGTTGGCTTGTTTGCTTATCATTTGGCATCAGGTTCACCGGTCATGTCAGGCTACTATGGTGTCAGAAGAGCTTTCCTGTCTGACTCCGATTTCCACAACACCAAACAATTTGCAAACGACGTCTGCAGCTCCAGCGTGGGGAAGCCCTTTCCCTGCGAGCCGCCCGCCAGCCAGAGCCACCCCGCCCTCCTGGATTCCTACTTCCCCGAGCCCTTCGGGGACCACCGGCCGCCTGCCCTGCCCCCCAGCACCGGCCCCCTGTTCGGAGCGTCGCCGCTGCCGCCGCTCTTGCCGCCGCCCTTCCCCGGCGACCCCACGCACTGCGTGCTGGTGAGTAAGCAGGCTTTCGCCGGCAGGGAGTGACTCGGACCGGGAGGCAGGGAGTGACTCCGACCGGTGGCTCCGAAGGTCTGGCCAGCCCGAGCGAGGCGCGCCTTCCAGACCCCAGAGACGCCAGGACAGCCGCTCTGCCAGGGTGCTTTCCGAAGGACCTTCCTTAAGACCGTGCCACCCAGGACAGCAGAAGGGCCTATCCTGGGGCTTGGGGGAGGGTGACTAGCAAAGCAGGACTTATATCCGTTTTGTGACCACTGTGCTGGTTTAGCCAGGTGTCCTCCCGCCATTGCTCTAGCGCAAGGAAAGAGCCGGCACGGCGCCGGCTGGGATCTTTGGGCCAATATGTCCAGGCTGTGCTTGCCCTCTCCCACTCCCCTCCCCTCCCCCAGTCCCTTCCCCTCCCCCTCCCCTACCCTCCCCCACGCCCCTCCCCTCTCCCACTCCCCTCCCCTCCCCCAGTCCCCTCCCCTCCCCCAGTCCCCTCCCCTCCCCCTCCCCTCTCCCACTCCCCTCCCCTCCCCCCCTCCCCCTCCCCCCTCCACAGCAGTTCTACCCTACAGAACCTTGTGCTCGCTGTCCTTCCAAAGAGGAGTTCATAAAGATCTGAGCACTAACACCTCCCTATATAAAACTGGAAAGCCTTCACCCTCAAAGGAATGAATCTCTCTAAAGATGGGATATTAGACAAAGGGGGGAGAGGGGTCTGGTTAACACTACTGAGTACCTACTCCAGCCAGGAACTTTTCTGTGCCCTTATTTACTACTAGCAACACCCCAGGAGAAACCAAGCTCAAAAACTCAGTCAGGAACCTAGGAAGTGTCACAGCCCTGAAATGAACCCACAATCTTCCCAGCTCCAAGCCAATGAGATTCCCACCTCTTTGTCAGCCAGGCAAATGGACTTTCCAGCCCACTTAAAAGGCTACTAGTGGTTTAGAGGCCCACTCCTTCCAGGGGCCGCTGGCCAACTTCCCCACTGTGCAAAGGGCATTCATTCTAGGATCCGAGTACAGCGAAGCTCAAAAAGAACGCAAGACATGGTGCGTATAAATGTCAAAATGCTATATAAACGTTTATTTTCTTATGCTCACATTTTACTCATGTAATGTTCTCTGGAGACAGAATCTTAATCCATACAGGGAACCTAGTTCTGGAGAAAGAAGGGAACTACAACTTTCACTGCTGCGTCAATCACCAGAGGGAAAACTGCGGGAGAAGGAGGCTCCGACAGGGAGGACACCAAGTCCTCTCTGCAGGCTGGGCCAGCAGCATCCCATGTTGGGGAGGAAATCTGTCCACATCAGAGTATCGTCTAATGAGTAACCCCGTGACCTTTCCATTCTCCTCAGAGAGACTCGTGGGAGCAGACAGTGCCGGATGGCCTCAGCCTGCTGGACCCTGTGCCCACTGATGCCCTGCAGACCTTGCCACCCAGCACGAGTTGCCTCTCCCAGCTGGAGTCAGGGAGCACCACCCAGCACAGGAGCTCAAGCTGGGGACCCCCCTTGGCTGGGGCTCAGTCATATTCTTTGCATGCATTGGAAGATCTGTACCACACACCAGGGTATCCTACCCCACCCCCATATCCCTTCACCCCTTTCACGACAGTGTCCAATGACCTACCACCCAAGGTGGTGCCCCTTTCCCCAGATGAGGGGGCTGATGCCTCTGCTCTTCAGGACCCTTCTTCATGGACCAGAGAGGAAGGGAGCATGGTGTGGGGGTCATACGAATGCCGCAGAGCTTACTGAGGGGTGCACCAAAGAACTTCTCTGCTTTTCTTTAACTTGGGTGCTGTGTCTACAGATTATTTTTGGTGTGGCAGCTCACTCAGAACTGGAGTTTCAGGATAAGCCATCATGCTACCTTTTGTTCATGGACGATGGCATTTATGTGTAATACTCCCCAACTTATCAGGGACCATATTGTAATGAGACAACCTGACAGGGGGTCTTTTTGGAGCCCTAGTAACCCATTGTATTCTGAATCTTCTGTTCTCTTTAAAGTGTCATTTTTGGCACTGATATATTTTTTCCTTAAATTACATTAAAATGTTTATGCAGATCCATAAAACATACTGATTTTCCTGTTCAATTTTTCTTAATTATGAACTATGTGTGTTATTTAGTAAAGAGAGTGCAGAGGATACAATGTAGATTAGGACACATAAAACACACATCATTTTATACCATGTGACTTTAAAGCACTCTCTTTACAGTGGCTTGTAAAGGCCCAGTGACAAATATATCACCATATATGTACGCTTTATTGTCATTCGAATGGGAAGAGGTCAGGAGACTATGGCTGCATAAATATATAGTCTTTACTTTTCCCTAAAGCCCAGGATGTGCAAAAATTAGGCCACCAATAAAACAATAAAGCCCAAAAGTTATTTTGATCAATGATTGCTGCAATGTAGCTAGACATTGTCTCTCTGATGGAATAGAACTAGTTGTCAGAGTGGAGTAGTAAAATGAGCATTCTGTGCATTGTAAAGAAAATACAGAGAGCTGGACTGAGCTGTCTATAAGGAACAACAAACTACAGAACACCAAGCGGTAAAGGGACTTTGAAGAAGGACACATTGTCAGGTATGGGCCAGCAGCATTACACACAACATCTCCCATTTAAAGGAAGACCCTGCTGGTAGTTCACTGGTCAGAAGTACAGCTCCTACCATGTACAAATGAAGAAACTGACATTGGAAGCAGTCATCTGTCTCTTGTAAGTTTGATTGTTGTGGATTCCTTTGGCAATTAATTCCCAGAGTAATTTCCACCAAGCAGTGTGCCTGCCGGTACCTACGCCATCTAAATGCCCTGCACACATTTGATTTTGTAGTGCATGATTCAAGGCCCACAGGTTACACCCATACCCTTCCTCTTATCTCCTTACCGCCTTCCTTTATTCCTTTAACACATTTTCTGACCCCTCTGATCCCTCCTGACCCAATGGGTTTTCCCTCTATCTCTTGGGGGTCCAATACTCTCATTTTTCACCTGGTTGCCCAAAGCCTCTCAAGAGCCTTCATCACGCCCCCTTTGAGTGTCCCACACTCTACCTCAGCTAGGTAGGAGTCCAGGAAATCAAATGAAGGCATTAATTAACACTCAGAAGTGAAAAATTGATCTTCCTCCTTCTTTGAGCCTTCAAGAGTATTTTCTGGTTAAGCAAACACTCTCCTAATGTATGGAGTACCACTGCAATGCTTGGATAGAGCAACTTTCTTTACCTCACATGCCTCAGCGCCCTCCTGGGGGAGCAGATGCAAGAGCACTGGTGCTCCTGGGCTTCTGGGCTGCTGGGCTGCACCCTCCCGGGCCCCCTGCTCTGCTCCTGCCCTCCTTTTTCACCCCCTGATCTTTACTTTGCTCAATATTTTCCCTTTAATGGATTGGGGGCAACTTGTACTGTGGGAGAGATAACTGCTCTTTAAGTTCACTGAGACCTCAGCCCTGGTTCTTGGTGTCCTTGGCAGAGCCATCTGTCACCCAGCGTCACTCATACCTGGACAGCAGGTCCCTGCATCTCAAAGAAGAGCGATAGCCCTCTCTATAGATTTAGGGATCTTCACCAGGGTCTCAAAGTCATTTTTCTAGATTGGTTGTATAAAATTTACAACTACAATCATCTGATTACCATCTATTACTAAGCAGCACACACTAGAATGGCTCTGTCCATCATAAGGATGCCTCCACATCACTTCAGCTTTTGTTTGATTATAATGCCAAGCGGTAGGCATGCTCAGCTCTCTCAGCTCATTGTCATCTTCTCACACATCGTGTTCACCTCTTCACACCCAGGATGCTTCGGCTCTCAGGTGAGTACAGCTCAGCAACCAGTGGTGTCTACATTGTTCTTAAAGCATCCAAGCCCTTTCATAGTGCTTGCCAAAATTAACCTATAAGGAAGGAGACACAGACAGACCCATCCTCTATCTAGAATCCATTTAAGTTATCTAGTCTTGTGGGGACAGGGGGTGGGGAATGGTTCTAGTCATTCCACATCATAAATGATTTTTAAGAATTCTATTTATCTTCACAGAGTGTTTCTATGTTACATATACTTCAATTTGGTTCTGTTTTATATTGTTCTAGAAATTTATAACACCTTGTTAAAAAGTGAAACCAAGCTATAAAATTATGACAGGGCAATTAATTCTATTTCCCTACCCCATTTCCCATCCGAGTACTCTCCACTTCCTGCTCCATGCCAGGGACCACTGCATCTTTTCATAATAATGCACAATGCCAACGTAAGAAAACAAAATGCATGTTCTCCCTCCCTCTCCTTCCTTGAACCTGCTGTGCTTCCACTCAGCTTTCCGGGGGAAGCCAGAGAAAATTAGAGAACTCGGGTTCAAAACACCATCTCTTTCAGGTCCTTTAAGACTAAGCAGAGATGCCCTAACTGGTGTTGCTCAGTTGGTTGGGCATAGTCCAGTGCACTAAAGGTTGCTGGTTCGATTCCCAGTCAGGGCACGTGCCTGGGTTCTGGGCTCCATCCCCGGTAGGAGGCAGCCGACCAATGCTGCACTCTCACATCAATGTTTCTCTCTCTCACTCTCTCCTCTCCCTCTAAAATCAATTAAAAAGAAAAAAGATGAAACAGAGATGGTGATGTCAAGTTCAAGCTACTTAAGAAAGCTTACTAGATGATAATGTCAAAAAGAGTTTGAAAGCAAAACTTACCAATGCAAAAGTTGCAGTATAGACACTCCTCCCATGAATCACTGGAGGCAGACAGTGTTCATGTGTCTCTTACAATGTTACACAAACCCTAAAAATGAGAGCAGAAAGCCACATCTTTACCTGCTCTATTTGATAACTGCTCCTGAACAAACATTATGACAACATATGACTTGCTACAGCTCATTTAATAACACAGTATGATGGTGTCACTGTGATGGGGAAGAAGTACTTCAGTACTAGAAGAACTGAAATAAAACAGCAACATATTCATAGAGACGGAATAAACTGATGATTGTTAGGGGGATGAAAGAAAAAGTGAAGGAAGTACAAATTTTCAGTTTTAAAATCAATAAGCCACAGGGATATAATGTACAGCCTAGGGAAAATAGTCAATAATATTGTATTAACTTTGCATGGTGACAGATGGTTACTAGACTTCCTGGTGTGCTTATATCGTAAGGGATATAAATGTTGAATCACTGTGTTGTATACCTGACACTAATATAATACTGTATTACCACTATACTTTAATAAAGAATAAATTTTTAAAAAGAACTGAAATAACAATTGATGTCCTAGGTTTAAGTCACTTTACATTACAGTGATTCTACCAACCACACATCAAAATCATTATCTTTCTTTAGGTTCTGTTATTGGATTCTGTATCACATCTCCTCTCTATTCAAAGCCACAGGACACTGTGCCTCTTATACCCCACATTCTATAACTATTGACTCTACAGGGCTTATATGCAAAAATCCCCAACCCCAGCTAAAGAGTGATTCTTTGCCGGGACTGGTCAAGGCGGGACTCACGAGTGGCTCATCCCGCTTAGTGCCCCACGTGCTGTAGCTGCTCCGGAAAATCTTTGTTACGTTGAACTAAAATTATACTACAAAGGTGAGTAACTATTTAACCCCTGATTTTGTGGGTGACAACTCTCAGAGAAACTTTCTCACCACGTTTAGTATTTCACACTAGCCATACTCTCTGCAAATGCTGACAGTTGTGGACATTGGGCTCTAATTGTAATACACTTTAAATAATTAATTTAGTATCTTTAAATGTCTCTAAAAAGAAAAATTCCTGAAGATTTGAAGTAGATCATAAAAATGTTTATATATTCACTGTATATCTCTATGTACTATAATGTTAAGAAGTCCATAGTGTTATTCAGTGGTTGATATCTGCAGGGTGAGTAAAACAAATATGAAAAATAGACCGGGAACTAGAATCTCCAAAGATAAGACTAAATAAATAGTGAGAAAACCTTCTATAATTACCTGTAAACGATGATACCATGTTATCTCTGATATTTGTTATAGAAGTGTCCTCTCATCATGACTCTGAGAAATAAGATGTGTGGGTTTTCAATGTGCAATATCATTGTCGGTACATTACAAGCCAAGAGGAGAGAACTGTACAACATTTTACAAATTCCAAAAGGAAAAATGTGGACAAAACAAATCTACGTATTAACCCTTTTGCATTAGGAAAATTGATAGATGTCCCTATTAACCTTCTCTCGAACCAAGTATCATGAGTGGAATAATCCAATAGTTTAATGCTTAATAAATTAATTTGGTCATAAATGAAAGATCACACATAACTGTGTTATTTCTTAACCTTGGTAAAATATTCATAGGCTTTTATCATGGTAATCTTTAGATATGTTTTTGTATGATATATATTACATAATAAAAATGTTTTAAGTAAAAGATGAACTTTTCAAGCAGTATCTAATGGTATTTTCCTTATTTAAACAAAAATTATCAAATGCTCATTCTCCATGGCAGCCTTTGAAGGAAAAGTTAAAACTCTGACTATGTTTTATGGGAAGAGACTGACTCACCACAAATCATTAAATATCCTCTACCTAATAGTCTTCCTGGTCATTTTCATATGGGTCAAACATTCACTCCGGGCCCAGTAACTACTTCCTTCCTGCATGTTTTTGGAACTTGATATTTCCCACAAAGACTGGTAACAGTGTCCCAAAGTCAAAATGATAAAAGAACTTTGCAATAGTAAAGTATGGTGCTGTAGTCAAATTTGGAGGG